TGTCTTTTTGGCATGGGAGACATTACAGGCGACGTACCCACTGACAAGCCGACTAGACAATTCATAAATGCACTCAGGAAAACCTGGACTGCAGGATGTTCCCTACCCGCTCTGCTCTCATCCGTGTCTTCTCTCCCTGCTCTGAAGTCATGTAACACGCGTGCACAGTGTGTTCTGTGAACCTGGCCTGACCTCAGCTTAAAGGGAACAGGCTGCTCTTGGTTTCCTCCTCCTTGTGAGAAAGTGCAGATCAGAAAGACACATCCTGCGGTTTACTTGGGCCCAGTACTGCCCACGCATTGGGGAAAATGATAATATGATGTGCGAGTCTGTCTGATCAAAGCACGGATGTAGGGGCAGTGAAGCTGGCCTTGGCTGTTGTGACAGAGGACCCGTGGAGTCAGGCGGTGGGTGAGGAGACTAGGGTGCTGTTTAGTGTTTCCTTCTGGGACGTTATCTGCAGAGAAATTAAACATTTACCTTTTCCTGGTGCCCTCTGTTCTTGGCACGTGGTCACAGACTTTGGGCTGACCTGGCTCTCCCTGGCACCACACAAGTCCGGGTAGATGGGGGAAAACATGCGTCCTCAGCTCCCTTTGGTTTCCAAAGCCTGAAACTTCTTGGGTTATGTTTTGCTCCTACTGGAGTCTGAAAAATTAAGTTTTGAGAAACTGAGGGCTGGGTGGTTCTCTAATGGTGTGGTGCACCTCAGTTGCTGGTTTCTTCAGGTGGTCGCTTGAGATTGAATTAAGATGATTATCAGGGAATTCTGGATCTCTTGATTTTTAGTCTGTGTTTGAGTTTGATTTGCAGAAATATCATGAATTGCTAATTAAAAAACCTTTCTTTTCTTTGTGAAAATAATTCACACTAATTATAGAAATTGGAAAAATATAAAAAAGCATAATGCTGAACATGTTTCTATTCAGGGATATTCACTAAAAACATTTTTGTTGTATTTGTGTGTATTTTGTATGCATAATTAAGTTCATTGTGTATACATTTTGATTTCTGTTTTTATTGCTTAATGCGGAAGAGAACTCTCTCCTGCATTGGTTGCAGCGCAGTATAGGTGTTTGCATGGGTTTCTTGTCATTGCTGCAATGACTTCCTATGTATGGAGTGGCTTTAAATGGCATGTATTTATTCCCTTGAGTTGCTAGAGACCAGAGGCCCAAATCAAGGTGCAGGCAGGACTGATCCCTCCACTGACCATAGGGGGTTTATTTCTTATTCCTTTGTTTCTGTTAGCTGTGACATTTAGGTCTTATTCAGATTATTGATTTAAAAAAAATTTGCAGTCATAGGATTTGAATCCACACCCAAGGCTTCAAACATGCTAGGCAAGCACTCTGTTTCTGAGCTATATCCCCAGACTGCTTTTAAAAATGAACAAAACTTCATAAAAGAAACAAAAACCTGTTTTTCCAGTTCTGAGATAGACTGCCACTAAATTACTCAGACTGGATATACACTCACCCTGTAGCCTCTGTTGGCCTTGAGTCCATCTTGGCTTGACCTGGCGAGTGCTTGCTCATGTAAGGTTCCATTGACAGCTTTCAGGATAGGGCCTGCCATCTCTAGGGCTCTTGTTCAATCTGCAGTGCTTAACAGGCAGGGGCTCTGAGGCTGGACTGTGTGCGCTCAAATCCCAGAGCCCCCTCTTAGGAGCCAGAAGGCCTTGAGCAAGTGTCTTGATTCTCAGCCACTCATTTTCTGATGGTGTAGTTGAAATGAAACACCTGAGTTGGTATAACCCTTGATGGTGTGTGTTTGTGAGTGTGTGTGTGTGTGTGTGTGTGAGTGTGTGGGGGGGGGTAGGGAGACGGAGAGAGAATGTACACAGTACTGTACATACTTACGGGAGTGCCTTAAGAATTGCAGTTGTTTTTATTAAATATTCTGCATAACATGATTTTTTATTTGAATGGCTTGATACTGCCACATTTATTTGTCTAATATTTTCCTTTTTTTGGCAAGAGGTCTTTTTGTTTTTTACCTCACACATAGGCTCAGTTACCTACTATAGACTTTGGGAAATGGAATTGTGCCTTCAAAGGGTGATGGGATTTTTCAGCTTCTCGATCAGAGTGTGGCGAGCGGCCTTCCAGAAGTCTCTCACCTGCCGTGTTCCTGCCGGCAGCTGAGATATGAGAGGGCCTGTGAACACTATCACTTTAGAGCCCAAAGTTTAGAGTCCCCCAGGGCTTCTGATGTTGTCTGCAGCTGTGTGAGTTTGTAGCAAAGGGACCAGCGGCTTCTGTTTTGAAATGATACCCTGTTCTGCTGTGTCTGCAAGCCCGTTTCTGTTTGTTTCAAAGGCTGAAAGCTTCCTGGGAGTTTCTGAGGTCGTGGAGGATGCATGTTTGCAGAGAGCGCATGCTAACAGCAAGGTGATTCTGGGTTTCTGTGTGTCCAGACATTTAAAGACTCTGCTTAGCGGCACTCGGACAGAAAACTAGTGGATTTAGGTTTGCAGCTAAAGCCTTGCGAAGCCCAGAGGGATGGGTGGGAGGGTACCACCGCCTACCTCCTTCCTTTCCTGCAGTGGCTGCTGTGGCCTGGCTCCTGGGCCATACAGGAAGAGCAGGGCTCTGAGCATGACTGCAGGGACCACATCAGAGACCCATTTGTCCCAGTGCTGCTCAGGCTATCAGGGAATTGCGTGGGGGCTCCTTCTCCCCAGCTGTGAACTGATGTGAATGTACAGTAAATGCAGTGATGTGCCGGAAAGGGATTCAATAATGACCAAGCCAGCCGAGGACTCAATGGGGAAGAGTCTTTGCCGATGTGAGGACCTTGAGGTAGAATCATCCTGGCTCGGTCAGGAGGCCCCAGATGCCAGTTCCTGGACTCTTACAACGTGGTCAGGAGAAAGCGATGAGAAGATGAGGCCAGAGAGGGGGATGGCACAAGCCATGCAATGCCGGTGCCCACCAGGGCTGTGCAGGGAGGAGGAGCCTCTGCAGGGACGCGTGTGCGCTGCCTGTTTGCTCTCAGACTTCCGGGCTCGGCACCGGGAGTGGATGTCTGCTGGTTCACACCCCTTGCTCAGTGGCCGTTGGGTGTGAAGCTCACGTGCCAGCCTGTGTTCTATGCCACAGTGGCCCCTCTGACCTAGTGCCAGCCTGGTGGCGAGAAAGCCTCTAACGACTCTAACTTTCTGTGCTTTCCTTGTTACCACTGGCACATGGAGTTGGTGGCAGGTGGCACCAGTTTGAGCCTTGTTCTGTAAGTCTCATCCTCCTCTTTGTCTTGTGGATGGGGAAACTGAGGCCTGGACAGGAGCTGAGTCCTGGACAGTAAGGCTGAGTCTTTGCTGCCTGGACTGGGTAGCAGTGACAGTTGGTCGCAGGAAACAGGAATGCTCTCACACCAGTTTAAGCTGGCAGAAGATTGCCAAGGAGTCTCAGGAACAAACTCAGCAGTGTGCTGGGTTTAAGTCTTGCAGGCCAACTCCTGTCCGTGTCACACTCTCCACCAGTACCCTCTCATAGATGCCCAAGTATCCCATTTCTTTAGGCCATTAGCTGTTCCCCGGGCACAGAAGCCAGCGCACGTGGCAGGCAGTAAGCCACCTTCGGTAGGCAGTGGACCCTGTCGAGGCTGGGGGCCATTGAGGGCCCTCCGTTAGCAGATTTCCAGTCTGCTGCTTCTGTCTCTGGGGCTCTAGCCATGTCATCTCTTCGGAAGCCCGTGTAAACTATGTGTCTTGACAGTGAGGTCACGTCAGCTCTCACACATCTCCAGGGAGGTCAGGCGCCTTAACCTGACACGTGTGGCCTTCAGAAGAATCGATCACCTTCTCCTTTCTAGCCCCGCTTCCTGATCCTGCTTTCAGTGTCTTGTTCTCAGAGCCTCACCAGTCAGTGCTCTACAAGACTGGGGATGAGAGTTCTTGAAGCATGCGCGACTCCTCATTCACCAGGGCTCCAACTAATGTGGAACTGTGACAAGTGACAGAAATTGGTCATTAAGTGTGAGATGCACTTATTACCTGTGTGTGTGTGTGTGTGTGTGTGTGTGTGTGTGCGCGCGCATATGTATATGTGTAGGCATGCTTGTGTGTGTGTGTGTGTGTGTGTGTGTGCTTGCATTCAGTAAAATGAAAAATACATAGAGCAGTGTTGATCACCATCAGGTTAGTGAATTCACTTTGGACCCTCCAGCCTGGCTGAGCTGCCAGATAACTGGAGCCACATTGGTAAGCCAGGCTAGACCAGAAACAGAATCAGCCATAGCCAAACCACAAGACTGGTGGCAAATCAGATTTTATTACTTAAGGCAGAACATTGATTTGGTAGAAAGGGCAGTGCGTTTAGCCCTGTGTTGTTGGGTCTGTTTTGGTGATGGGCATTGCTCCGTTGCTCAATTACCCTTTGCTGTAGACTTTCCTCGGATGGATGCTCCCAACTCTGTTTTCAGTGAAACTCTTACGTTGGTGTTTTACAGTCCTGCCCTGACTGTGCCTGTCTTCCCTGCAGTCTGGGCCTCTAGCCTGATGTCTCATGGCTCTGGGTTTTAGGAATTGTTTTTTGGCTCTGCATTCTGGGTCCGCAGACACCTTTTTCCTTGAAGTCTTTCGGGACAGTGGCGTGAGACCCATGCCATCTCCCCCTGTTTTCTGTTTCCCATGTCTTCATGTTAGAAGTCACTATTTCGTCTCTGCCTTCTTCCACTCCCCTTCCTGGGCCCAGCCATGGATCTCGCATTTTACAGCAGTGACGGTTGGTCTCAGGGAACGGGAATGCTCTCACACCAGTGTAAGCTGGCAGAAGATTGCCAACGAGTCTCAGGAACAAACTCAGCATTGTGCTGGGAGTGCTTATAGGAGGTGCTCCAACTTGCACTGTCTCTCTGGGCTAGGGCAGCTGAAGGCTCGCCCTTCACCTGGCAGTTGGGGAAGTAAGCATGCGCCTGCCTTCTCAGCGTGGTGGGAGTCAGGATGGGGAGCCTATCTCCACACATTTTTTACTCTTTCACTTCTGATTTCTCAACAGGAACCACTCAGATCACCTTGACTGGAAGTTGGCTGACTGACGTCACGGAATTTGAAGTAAAGGTAAAACCACTCATCCATCGGGAGATGGCAAGCGTGACTCCTCTCTGCCCAGCCCCTTGCTCGTCAAAGACCTTCCTCAAATGTCTGCCTAGGGGCTGGCTTTGAATTGGGCTTGCACAGGAAGCAGCCTGGGGTGAGGTTTTGCCTGGCAGACCTCACCGTTGTCTGTGCGTACCTCCGGGCAGCTTAGTGAATGGTTGCTGGGAATCGTTTTCCTACCAGAACATTGTGCTTTAAACTAACCAGTGGGTTCCTTTTCTCAAACTGTTTATGCACCTGCAGTTATTACAGAGAGGTCTTTGGCTTATCCTATCTTTGCTGTCCTCGGGTAGACAAGCCCCAGCTCTTCCTCAATGACCATTGCCACTGCCTTCTCTTGGGTCTAGAGTGCCTTCCCACTTGCTGGTAACGCTACATAAGCATGCAGTTTGGGAGACAGGCAGGCAGATGGTAGCCTTTCATTCCAAGCCAGCAAACAAGCTCAGAAGTTCAATCTTGCTCTAAGGGCATAAGCCAACGTGGACGTAGCCTGTTCTCTCCCTCTCTTGTCCCATCTTGGCCTTCTCTGGGGAAACCGTGGCAGGCTGCTTGTGTCAAGGAGCCTAGAGCCCCACCCTCCAACCTTTCAGGGAATTTTTCTCTTCTGTTGACCCTCTGTGTTACTCCATCACCGGCTTTTCCTCCACAGCCGATACCCTCATCCTGATGTCTCTCAGTCTGCTCCGAAAGTGCCCTCTCCCACTTAGGGCTTATTTAGATGCTGAGAGTATAGTTGTTTTATATGAATGCTGCATGGCCACACTTCATAAATCAACTGGAAGTCAGTGTCCAATCAACTTGATCCTGCTGCCTCTGACGATGTTTTCTTTTTCCTTCTTAAAATAATTGCAAATGGTTCTGTCAGTCAAGGTGGCGCCGCACACAGACTCGCCATGTGGAATTGTTTGGTTAAATGCAACTTCTAAAAAAAAAAAGAAAAGAATCAACTTTTCATTAGAGGGCAGATTGTCAGCTGGCATTTGATTTGTCCTTTGAGGAGGAAGCTGGAAAACAGATGCCACAGCGCGAGGCCAGGTTGTAGTCCAGAAGGAGGCAGATTCGCTTGAGAGCAGGATGCGGCTTCAGTGGAGCATTGCTTCCTGAAATAGGCTGACCTTTCCGGGCTCTTCTGCTGGAAGGCCTTCCTCTGTGTTTGATGCCACTTGCCCACGGGACTGAGCAGGAGTCCTCTAAACAGGACCTTTCTCTCAAGCTGGGAGTCGCAGAGCCCATGACCAGCACCCCACTCTATGACCTGGCATTCGTGAGTTCAGAAATCAGCAGACCTCCACGATGCTGTGGCTGAAGAGTATCAGCCTGTGCGCTTCCAGCTGCAGCATAAAGCAACTTTTAGAGGAGGTTTTACCGTGTGTTCCCGTTCTATATCGTACTGTCACATAGAGGCATTTCCAAACAAGTATTATACTTTGGGTGTATATCCTCCCCTCATGTCTCTCTACTGTCCCCTTCCAGCCATAGCTCCTTTCTTCCCGTGGACAGTCTTGCTTCGGGTCATGTATACATACGTCACCTTAAATATCTCCATGAAATCTGGGAAACACAAAAGGGAGGAAACTGAACTGTGTCTCTCTAAGACTGATTAATTTGCTCAATGTGATTATCTCTGGTGGTATCCGTTTCCTTGCAAATGGCATAATTTTGTCCTTTATAGCTAAAAAAAATTCCATATAAACCAAATTCTCTCTATCCACCCCTTCTATTGTTAGATACCTAAGGGTCTTTGTTTTCTTATAATGCTTGGGTTCCTGTGGCTTGGGGCTGTGGCAGAGAGGCAGCCTGTGCACCTCCTAGTTGAACTTGGTCTCATTGGTTGCACTCCATTTTGAGCTGGCACAGTGACAGGGACACTCAGTCACTGTGGCTGGAGAGGATGACAGAAAGGGGTCAGCGATGAGGCCACCTCGAGGTGCCCGTCATTCCCTGTGACTCCTTTGTGTTCTATAGCCTTTCCTGTTTCTTGTTCAACAGTTAGCACATGTGTATGGCATGGACATCTCGAACTCAATGTGGCCATGTTTTAGCTCTTGCAAATCTCTGCTCTCCCCTCCATCTCAGCCAGGCATGCAGTAGTTCACTCGCTTTTCTTTTTAAGCCAAGACTTGGGAGAGTCATCTGGTCATGGTCACCTTTTCAAATCCCGAAAGCCTCATTGCTTCTCTCAAAGTCAGTCTCAATCTCATCTGTACCTTCCCGTATCCAAACAGCCTTCTGTTTCCTAGTGGCCTGCCAAGGCCTGCCTGGCACTCCTGCCTCTGTCCTGATGCTCCCTTTGGGCTGACATTATTTTTAACAGTACAGTCATTGTCCTTCTTGGATGGCGCCTGTAGACTTGAGAGGACTGTGTGGGCTGAAGACGGCAGTGACTCTGATTTTCCAAACGCAATAAAATACCTGGCAGGCTTTCAGAGGTGTAAGTGGATGGCTGTTGTGCTATGGGACATGGAGCCAGGGCTGATTTTTTTTTTTTGTTGTTCCCAAGAACCCCGGAACTTCAATTCCTAGAACTCAGGTGAATCATTACTTCATGTGGGGACCTTGATAAGTTCACAACCGCTGACACATAGTGAAAAAACATTTAACACCTCCTTCCCTCCCAAGTGGTCCTCTTCCTCCAAATATTCTTGGCCTAATAATGTTGAGTGCAGTGTAACTCAGGAATACTTCTGGACTGTGGTGGAAAAGACCAGCAACCTATAGAGGAAGAAGAAATCCCACGCTGGCGGTGTAGCCCTCCCGTTAAGCACATTCTTCCCTGCGGCTTTGCTGTTCTTAACTGACCTTGAACTTTGAACTTTGTCAGGTGTGTATTTACACATCTGCTGATGTAACACCCCCTCCTCACAGGCTTCCTGGTTAAGGTAATGACCAGGAATAGAGAACTTGCAGCTGGAGTTTTGGTGCAGTGCGGTCTCTAAGGAATACAGCTGTTCTGTGATCTTAATTTGAAATATAGCTCATGAATCATAGCAGAAAAATGACCGTGAGGTGCCTTACAAGGAGATCTGTAGGTGTCACAAGGCACTGTGGTTGTGTTTATAACAGTAACCCAGGGGCTGGGGGATGGGCCCCTTCCTTAACTTTAGAGTAGAAAGTGCTGGGATCTTTATGGTGGGTCTTAAGGGGGATTGCCAACCACTTGAGACAGTAGGAAGTCCACAGGGCCGTCCCGGTGGCAAAGTCGGTAGCTGGGGTGGGGCATGCGCTTGTTAGGTGTGTAGGAGCTACATCATGGAGGACCTTACTTGGGGACAGGGTTAAACAAGGACCTCAGCTTATTTAATTCTGTCGCTAGAGGAACATAGTTATAGAATGTATGCTAGGGAGTTCTGGGTCAGATTCCTCTTTGGAATATGACTGCCTTCCTTAAGACAGCCCACTCCCCACCACACCCCCCACCTCATCCCCTACCCCAACCCCCACCCCGCCAAAAAAGGCAACAGCAGTCTGATTCCCATTCTGTGTGTTTACTTTCTTGTGTGTCTGTGTTTGGGGGGGCGGCGACCGTGGCGTGTGTGCAGATCAGAGTACGACTTGAGGGAGCCTGTCCTCTCCCCCCCCCCGTGGTTCTCAGGGGTCAAAGGCTTGGTGGAAAGCACCCCTACCCGTTGAGGCGTCTCCAGCTCCTTTAATCTGACCTTGTGGGTGTGAGACTTCCCGTCGTGGGGCCCGGCTCCAGTTAGTGACTTAACCACGAAGCTGGCATGCTTCTGGCGTGCAGTGGCACCGTGAGTGCCTGCCTCGCTAGAGTGCGGGAGCTTCTGCACTAGCAACACCGCTAGCCAGGGCCCTGCTGTGCGTGGACACTCTGGCTTCCCGGCTCCTCAGATCTTAGAAATAGCCCTTGAGCGGTGCTGTGTCAGCAAAGTCCCCTACTCCTAGCGGTTTCTAACTGCTGGGAATCTCGATGCTTAATGATCAGTTACTGCTCACTTGGCTCTCTTGTTATTAGTCCGGCAGGTTGGTTTTTAGCCCTGCATGTCAAGTAGTGCCTATTTATGCCAGTAATTTTTTTTTTGTGCTAAAAGCGTTTCCAATGACTATACTTTCAAGCAGGCATGAGGTTTAGATGAGTCATCTGTACCCCTCCGATGAAGATGTTTGCATCTCTCAGATCTGCTGGCTACAGTGATTTTGACGTTTGCCGTGTGTTTTTGTTGGTAACGGGAAGTGGGGAGGATGGACAGGTATCGAATGCTTTACCTGCCCATGTGGACAGTGGTTTTAGATGAGGTTAGGCATGTTTTCCTACCTAGGGCTTGAGAGAGTAGTGAGTTTAGGAGAAAACACAGGTTACACAACCGTTCTGGCAGCCTTCAGGAACAGAGGTCAGGCCTGGATTCAGGACTGTGGGGACAGAGAGGAGAGGGGGTGTAAGAGGCAGTATTAGGAACGGGGAGCTAAGAGGGACAGGATTGAAATTTCTGTGTCAGGAGTGACTAGGGGGCGGGGAGGTCGGGGAAGTCATGCTTTTGGCTCCAGCGGTGTTAACAGGAGGAACAGGCTGACATCAGGCAGACGGGAAAGCCTGAGGTGGCAGACAGATCCACAGTCAGCACACGAAGGCCCTCGAAGGCCAAGCCACACTAGCACCGTGGGGCGCGTGCTGGGAGTCACCGAGACAGACTGTTGAGTGCTAAGATGGCCCTTTGCTCCACTGAGACCCTGACATCTGGGAGGTAGGTCAGACAGGCCCTGAAAGTCAGGGGGACTGCGGCTTTACCTTATCTGGGATACAGCGAGTTCTGATTCTACGTTTAGCGTTGTAGGACATCCACTGCAAGTCAGCAGGGTTGAGTGTGGTGGCAGTACCAGACCAGCAATCGTACACGCTCCCCCGTCTTAGGTGTCCAGATGGTCTTACTGACAGTGACTCCACAGAGGTCTGAGTGGACAGAGGCCGTGGCTGACCTGGAATGCCGGGAAGGATGAGATGAGCCCAC